TTGAGAGCTACGAGTGAAAACCTTTTTTAATCTTCCTTTTTATAACTCATTGTCCAGTGAATGTGCTGATGCTGTATTTCAGCCAGGTATAGCCTACCTGTAATGGATACATTGCTTGGTCCGTTGCTTTTAAATCTTTGTTCCTAGCACTGTAGAACACTTGCAACTTGCAAACAATATTGTTTTTTTTCTCTCATTAGATAAAAGAAGGCAGCACACAGCATTGCAGTTTGTTACTATAAAAGGGCAACTTGGATCATAATTAAAAATTATTTAAAAATTAATTTAAAAATATTTAATGGCAGGTCCCCTTATGCTTGACAAAACCTTTCTTTTCTTTGGTATGACCTGCTTTTGCACTTCCCAAGAACTGAAGATATTATTAACTTAATGTAATCAGGTTCTCTTCGAGCTCAGTAAAACTTTCCTGAAATGTTTATGGAAAACATACACTCCTTTTTCCCATCTGGAATAGTCTACTGCTTAATAATGTAGCCCAACCAGTATCAGAGCCTTCAAACTTCAGGTCCTTGCAAATCTGCCTTAAAATGTCAATTTGTCCAAAGCAAGCTAGAGCACAGTGACACGGGTGATAATACTGGGGTTCTGCAGATGATCGGCAGGCCATAGTGGCTGCAGATTACTGGATGGCAAACCAAGGCTGACTTGGGTGAATACTTGCATGCTGACACTAGGGGCATCACGGGTAAAGCTTGCTAAAGATGAAGCTCAGATTGTTGGGCTTATAGGGCTTAGCCTGTACTTTGAATGTCACTAAGGCACTAGGATCCTCTTGAAAGTTAAAGTGTATGCACAACTCTCATGTTTGTGGATACCATAACAGGATACAGTAAAGCACTTGAATACTTGCTTTTCCAAAGATGCCCTTGGTTTGTTGAATAACAAATCATGTCTACCCATATTTGTTAAGTGTCAATAAAAACTACAGAGAGAAGGCCTTCTGCCCATGTAAGGAACTCCTCCAGCTATTTCTGGAAGGCTGTCTGAGCAGGAAATCTGAGTATCCTATCCTAAATCTCATATACCCTCCCTGTGTGTTTGTCTGTGTCCTCTGGTTAGTGTTCCGTTTTAACAGTTTGGATTACCACATGTATCCTTATGGGCCTCCCCACTTATGACTGTGAAGCAGTGAAGGCAGGATGGCCTAAAGTGTCTTTCTGCATGAATAATCTAAAATAATATCCTCTGGAAATACCAGGAAAAATTGAAGATATAGGATTATAGTATGAGACTTCAGCCACCATTATATCAGACAGCCTGTGTGTGTCTGTGCAGTACATCTTAAGTGTGATGTCTTATTATGCTGCATCAGGGAGTTCTTCTGAAGTTACAACCACCATTTTCCAATATGAAGACTGCCGACTGGATTCGTTTCAAAAGTGGCCTGATGGGACAAACACAGAGCCCCAAATGCTTGCAGAAGCAGGGTTTTTCTACACAGGTAACCTTGTTTTTTTTAAAGAAAAACAACATGACAATCACTAGCAGGAAAGATCTTTCATTATTGTTCATTATTTTTCAAGCAGATCCCACAACAAATAATATTTTACTAATTTGTTTGTCTAATGCTGTTATCCAAAGCACCTTATATTTGCATCATATACAACGAAATTGGAGCCATTCAGGTGAAGTACTTCTTTCAGGGATAGAGCTGGAGTATTTTACTTGGGATTTAAATGGACAATCCTCTTGTTACAAGTCCATAAGACTAGCCACTGCACCACACTACTACTCTTTATATGAGCCATTTATCTCAACAGTATCTTATTACTTTATTTAAGAAGCATTCTGATGTAGTGCCCAACTATCTCATTATTCAGTGCTCATGCAGTACATTTCTTTGAAGTACTATTATATGCAATTGAAGGGTTTCAGGAAAGCCGAGAAATGAGAGATTAAAAGTGTTATGAATGAATAACTCAAGTGAGAAAGCATAAATGAGGACTGTAAGAAACCAGACAGAAGGAACAAGTTTCTTTGAGTATCAAAACATTATTCAGAGAAGCAATGTCAGAGACACTGGAAAATTACAGAACGTGCCTCCTCCCTTAACTAACCCGAGAAACATAGCTGTGGAAAACTTGCAATCTCCTGCGTTGTCTTAGAGTCCTTGTGAAGTGGTCAAGTTTGAGAGCAATTCTACTGAGCCATCATCTCTCCAGGGCGAAAAGCCAGTTGAACTGTCTCTGAAATACTGTAGGTGTAGTATATAAAATAAAACCTGTTCCTGATTCCTGTTGTCCCTTTTACCACTACAGTAATAAGCAAGTTTCGTTATACTGTAGGTATCGCAGATGCCGTCCAGTGCTTCAAATGTGGCATAGTCTTAAGTCACTGGAAGCCAGGTGATGTTCCCTGGGTGGAACATGCCAAACATAATCCTAGGTCAGTACTTTGAACTTTTATCATCCTTGAGATATATTCTGAAGACTTCCCTTCCTTCTTCTTAACACATTGGGCACCTAACCTTTGGAAAGGGCCTCACTGTTGTTTAACAGTGTGTTAACAAAGCGGTATGGACATTGTGTTCCTTTGAAAAGAAAAAATACATCTTTTAACCACACAACAATATCAAGTGCTTTGAGAGGTCACCTTTAAAGGTGCTATATAAAATAAAATGTATAATTGTTATCTGCTAGTTATTTTTGCAACTTGCCTTTATCAACTTCACCATTCACTTTTCCCACTTAAGATTTAACTGGGCCAATTTAACTATCCTGAACAGATCTGAAGAAATTATGATTTAAGGAGACCCTGCTGGACTGCTGCCCTCCATAGTTAAAATTAGGAAGCCCTGCTTTGGTGGGGTTCCCTTAACATAAAAACACAAGAACAGCAACAAATAGAGGAGGTCATTCAGCACATCCAGGGCATTTGGTAGCTAGTAGTTAATTCATCCAACCTTTCCTTAAAAGAAACCAGGTGATCTGCTTTAACAACTTGTTCGGGCAGCTTCTTCCATATTCCTACCACTCTTTGGGTAAAGACGTGTCTCCAAGATTTCAGCTATTGAGGGAAGGATCTTTTTGAAGCTACTGGTTGAGTAAATTCATGCTACAGTTTGCCAAGTAATATAAACTTTCTCTTTCAATTCCAGTTGTCCTTTAGTCATACCTATGAAAAACAGAACTGAGTCCCCAAAAGATGAAACACCAGTGAATAATGTAAGAGTGAGCCCATCACTGACTTTCTCTAGATAACAGTATTTTGGGTGATTTAAATATTAATGTATTAATGTAATACTTTGGCATTAGGAGCAAGTCTGATCATTAATCACATTATTTGTTATAATATTCTATTATCACATTTCATATATGCACTCTATAATAATGTTCTAAATTAATTTTCTTTATAAAACATTCATGAATACCATTTTTGAGTGACAAACAAATATCTACGGTCCCAACCTGTATTTTACAGCCCCTGCAGTGAATGATTGTCACTGTTCATTGAGTTACAAATATAAATTCTAAACACCAGAGCAGGCTATCAATGTTGCCATGACATAACTTTAGGACAGACAGACATTTGAGTATCAATGAACATTAAATAGGGATGAAGTAGTTCAATTAGGTAACTGCGTCAGCATGCGTGGGCTGCAAACGAACAAGTAATAGGTTTATTCCATACTGAAAAGAGAAGAAAGGAAAAACCCAAAAGGAGGCTCCACAGCCAAAACATTGTGTTTCCTTTCTTCTTTTTTCACCATGGAATAAACTTTTACTTGTTCCTTAAATAAGGATGTGATGTCACTCCTGTGTACCAGGAAGGCTATGCAGCACCAATTTTGTTCACATACACTTAGAATGCTTTACAGTACAAGTTAACACCCAACACCTTTTCATTTTTTCAAATAATCTGATGCAGGTCTGCACTACTTTGTAATACCGCCGGGTTGTGCAGTGAATGCTTAGCATGGCATGTCTAACATATTGTACATTTAATCTTATTCTACAAATAAAACTTAAATGGGTATTAACTCATTAGTGCTTTCCTGAACTAGTAATTCTGTACATAACACTAATAGATGTATTTTTACTTTTTAGGATAAATACAGTATCTAGTATGTGTAGAGATATAGTAATTAGAAAACATAATTTTATTTAAAATTTTGATTGTAAAATATATAATATTGTATTGTGTTGTCCCTGTTTGGGATGAAACGGAACTTGGCAGACTTCATATGCAATTCATTTTGGACTTGCATCTGCTGTGTTTATTTGCCTGTCCACAGTGGGCCTTCCACTATTTGGCAAGACACATCTCTTCCACAAACGGCAACTGTTACAGGGCCATCAAGCTAATTCAACTCCAAACCTTGTGGGTGTCATTAAAGATAGCTCTCACATGGCAAAATGGTGCTCCTGAGTGAACCAAATTGGTTGCTGGATCACCATTTTTTTCAGACTTCAAACTACCATTTTCTTGCAACTATTGCACCAAATTGCCTGGAAACTTGCAAAGAAACAGGTCTCACTTCGGCTCCAGAAACTTCACATGGTGCATTTTATAGTAGGTCATAGGAAACTTGGCAAAATGTGCCCTGTAACCCTTGATCTCTTCTTTAAAAACTCCATCATTTAAAAGTATCAACCTAATAAATCTGTGAGCTAATGGAGAACTTGTTTAAGAGAACTTGGTCACTTGATCATCATTTTTATTTTCTTTTTTGTTGATGTAACAAAATCTTAAAGAACCAAAAATTTAACACCTGTTGTTTTAGAAAGTGTTTATTCTCTAAACTTGATGGAAATAAATTTTACATTTCAATTTAGTTAACTTAAGTTCATTCACACTAAAAAAACTACTTACTTAGAAGCTTTAAACACTGCTTTTGGGTTTTCAAGTTTATTTTTCACACATACGCTATCTCATACTATATACTCTAAAGTTCACAAATGAAGACAAAAAGCCTAAATGCATCAGTGTTACATGGACTTCATTCTTTTTAGGCACAATTCTATGAGGCTGAGAAGATAATAAAGTCTTCTTCTATTTAAGATTCAGATTTCCCGTGTTTTTATAGGGACGAAGCAGGGATGAAGACAATATCATCTCAAATGTTCCCGAAGAAAGGAGCTGTTCATGTACGTACATTTGTAACTCAAAAGAACTCAATCTTTTCTCATAAGTCAGTTAACTATCCAGTACATCTTTGGACTGCGAGAGGAAAACAAACACAGGGAGAGGGTACAAACTCCACACAAGTAGCACCCCAGGAACTGAACCCAGGGCTCCAGCGCTGCGAGGCAACAATGCTAAACACTGCAATGTGGGGAAACAGATATGATTTTTCTCATAAAGCATGAGAATACTGAATGTAAAAGGCATTTCAGTTCCACAGGATGTTCGTCCAGTGTTAATGTCTGTAGCAGGTCGCATGGTTCACGTGCCTTTAAAGTATGGATTGACATTTTTTATTGTTGAAAATGGTAGACAAAGATTATTTGGAGTCTTTGTTCACCTTCTTTCATTTTTGTTTTTTCCAGTACCAAGCAGGAATGTGGAGCAAAGAGATTGGATCTCTGAAGCAAGACATTTGTCCTCGTGGTTGAGAAAGGCATATCGTGCCTTAGACTTCAGGAGAATTCCTTCATTTTCCCACACAGCACATGCTGCAGTGGACTTGCATTCTACCTTCGCATGTCTGGCTTTGTCTTTCCAGAACAGGAACAATGAACCAGAGCGAGCAATTTCTCTGCCATCACTACTAAGACAACTTGGTAAAATTACTGTCATCGAAGGAGAAATAGGCAGTGGGAAAACAGCCCTGCTCAGGAAAATCGCAATCTTGTGGGCTTCTGGAGGTTGCCCTGTGTTGCAGAGATTCAAGCTGGTATTTTATGTTTCCCTTAAGACTGTGAAGACAGACCAGTCCTTGGCAGAAATGATTGTAGAATCACTGCAAGACTCTAACATGTGTCTCAATGAAGAGTCATTCAGGAAAATGATCTATGGTCTGAGAAACCAAGTTTTGTTCCTGTGGGATGATTACGGCATAACAGGATCGCCTCCAGGTTCTGTCAATGAACTGGTCTTGAAAAATCACATGAGCCAAACTGCTGTTGTTATTGGGGTCCAGATGAACAGAACTGCACAAGTGCGTCGGTGTGCCTCATTGGTTGTTACCGTCAAAACCTTTCCTGTATACAGCACTGTATTTCTTTTGAAGAATCTTTTCTCTCACAACAAGGAGCTGGTGAAGAACTTCTTTATCAACCTGGGCCTTTCACAGGAACTGGAAGGCATTTTTAAAACACCACTTTTTGCCTTAACTCTGTGTGCTCTCTGGGTGCAGGACCCCAGTGCCAATATGGATGAGAGGAAGATTTTTGAAGCATACCTCCATTACACTCTACAAAAGCCAAGGCAGGAGTCTGTTAAGGTGGCAGCTGTCATGTTATCTTGTGGAGACCTTGCCTTAGAGGGTCTTTTTACCAAGCAGTTTGAGTTCACTGAGGAGAGCCTCCGGGATGCAGGGATTGACAGTGGAGACGTTCTTGCTCTGGGGCTGATGAGCAAGTTCACCACTCAAATGCTCTTTCCTGTCTACAAGTTCTTTCACGTTTCCTTTCAAGAGTACCTGGCAGCCAAGCGCCTGAGTGACCACTTTGAATCTGATACTGAGGAGCAGCTGAAAAGAGGCTGGTGCTATCTGGCTCAAATTAACACGTACTTCAAAGTAATGTTTGACTATCAATCCTTTTTGAGCTATGCATGTAGTTTCTCTGCAACAACCACAGAAAAGATTGTCCGCCACTTGTTTTCCGCCTCAGAAAGTCAAGACTTTTTTGAATCCAGGACAGAAAATATGAAACTCTTAGAGAAACATCCACAACATCTACACAATGCACAAATGGTTAGAAAGTTTCTACACACAAGCGCTTCAAGAGAAATTTGGAGGGAACATTTTTTGGAGTTTACAATAAAGATATCTCTTCACAGCAGTTGTTTGCCCAGCTGTGCTCCCCATATCCTCCAATACCTTTCTGGGAAAAGTCTGCAATTTGCAGAAATGGGAGGTGGGAATGCAATAGAAATGTTTTTCAATTTATACCCACAATCCCTTTCTTTGCTGAGTGATGTAGTCATTTTAATTACAGGGTTTGAAAAAACTGATGCAAACCATTTTTTGAAAATTGAAAATGCCCTAAAGTCTCCCTGCCAGCCTTCGGTTGAGGAAGACTATGCTCCAGCTTTCCAGCTACTGAGAGATGTGGCAGAAATGAATATCGCAAATGAACGGAAAATCGATCATATTCAATCAATGAGGCTCTGTCATCTGAGTGAAACCACAGTTAGCACCCTTGTGAGGGTGGGACAGGGACATACTCTCCCTCTACTTAAAATAAAAGTTTCGTACCTGCACAGACTGGCAGATGGAGATCGAGTAAAGTTACAGTGCTTGTTCACTGTTTTTCACAGTGTTGAACTCATTTTGGAAAGTGCTGAAGGTTTCCTGGAGAGTATTCAAGACGTAATTGAACAAAATTGGGCTAACTTTAGAAGACTTGCGTTTTCTGGAAGTCACTTAACCAGACAAGAGGAAGATCTTGTGATATCAATGTCATCCCTGGAGCACCTCGATTTATTCTCTAAGAAAACCCCAGGTATGCAAAAGTACTAGTTAATTGTTGCTTTAACATTTGATTGGTTCCATTTCATAGAGTGAGAATTAGTAGATTCTAGATGAATGTTACAAATGAACAGGGTTACAAATGAATTCTGAAAAAAAGGGTTTTGCTTCTTTTGTGATGAGATGCATGTCCTCTGGGAATGTAAAGCCAGCAGCATTAAGGTTATACTGCATGTTGCCTCACAAAATATTTCCATTGACCATTTTGTCTTTATTTTGTCTTCTTTTTGGGGAACCTAGGGTATCTCTTTACATTTACTATTTTTGATGCTGAGGTTATGATGCTATTTATGATGCTTGGCAAAACACAAACACTCCTTTTGTATTTCCTTTGTTATCCAGAAAGTAGCCTTGGAAGTGGCTTTCTGTCTTTTCCCCATTACAACATTAATAGAGTTTTTAAACAGAAGTCTGAGAGACCAAATCCCTCCTCCCAAGCTCCCCTTTCTTGTAATCTTTTCTACACACCTCCCTCCACCCCAACTTCATTTTTTACTGCTGCCTCTCTGGTTTATTCCTCATAAGTGAGCAGGATTTTGGCAAATTTGACTTTTCACGCAGGGCTGTCATCTCTTCAGGCAGGCAAATTAAAGCAAAATAATAAAACTAAAACACAAATCCCTTTTTATTAATTGCCTTATCTCAATTAAAATGTGACCAAGCTATTGGATTATTGTTTGATTGGTTTATTGAAGTTTACATTCTAGGTGACTATACAACACCTAGAATAAAAGCTCTATCCTTTGAAAGCGAATCATAAAAGAATCCTTTTTTTTTCCTGTTGCCAAAGAGCTCTGATCTCTAATAATTGATTTTGGTTTGATGTTGTACAATGCTGGGAGTGGGTGAGTGGCAATCAATATACATTAATGAGACACTTTTTTTGCCTCTAGAGTTTTTGATCTCAAATCTGGACAAGCTCTCTCGTCTCAAAGAACTGAAAGTCACAAGTGAGTCAAAAGTACTTGATAGCATATTAGATGGATTCAAACATCTTCAGAATTTGGATGCATTCACTCTTAAACTTTTTGATTCTGAAGATGACACAAGCAAACTTGGTATGTCTGGTTTTTTTATTTCTAACTTTTAAACACATCAGATTCTCTCATTCTTTCATCAGAGCATTCTAAAAAAGTCTTAACAATACTGTGTCCATTGTCACTTACTTTTCATGATAACATGTATCCTTGCAGCTTTATAAGAACTTTTGTGTTCTGCAAAAAAAACATACACACAAGTCCATGGTTTAGAAAAATCTCTGTCACTGCAGAGCTCTTTTATTTTCAAAAAGTTAAACAAAGTGAAATCCAAAATGATTCTCAAAATATTAGTCATCAGCATCCTAGCTGCTTCAATAGCTTGTTGTTGCTTTGTTCACCTTTATACTATAGCTCTTTCATCTTCTCTCAGTCATCTGCTTCTTGTAAGCCTGTGTTGGCTCACTGTCAGAGCTCCAGTGTGTGTTATACTTCTAGTTAGACTTCATGTACTAACTACAGACAAATACTAGCTGATGGTCTATCACATTATTATTAATTTGTAAGCTTATTAGAAGGGAAGCATAGTAGCATGGCTGTTAGAATTGCTACCTCATAGTTGCAGAGACTTGTATCGCATTCTGGCATTGGGCTTCTGTCTGTGTGAAGATTGCATGTATATCTTTGTATCCATTGAGGTTTTTATGAGGAGCCCCCGTTTGTCTACAATAGCAAAGAATTTTAAGCTGGATGGCCTATTTTAAAATTCCCTTTAATCCAATAGCCCTGCGATCAACTGAAGTCCTGTCCACTAGAAGAGAACACGTGCAATCTCAGCTGTTTTTCTAGTTCTGTGCTTCCAGGATATGTTCCAGCTTGTCACGACCCTCATCAGGATAAGCACTTTCATAATGTATACAAATACTCAAGAAAAATGTTCTTTTGTTAATAGACATGTGTTGGTATGTAGCTGGATCCTTTAAAAAAATCTCAATTAATAAAGCTTCTCGCATTGGAAACCATACAGTATTTTATGCACACACTAGTCTACAAAAACAAAACTTTTATGCCATTTAATTACCCAAATGGAAGGTATTGTTGATACATTGTTATTGAGGTCTGTGTTATTTATTAAAAGTCCATTCTGTTTTGCATAAACATATCTAAACCTACAGCTAGACCTCCTGTTGCTGTTGCTGATATTGTTTTTATTTCCAGCCTTCCTTCTGTGACATTTTCCCAATCTCAAACACATAAGTCTCAGGTTGCCCAGGTGTCCGAATTTCAATGAAGTCACCGCAGTGCTTTCCACCTGTAGAAAACTTATTCATTATAACATATTCACTTTGAGCACTTCCTTCATTTTGACAGAGGTGTATCAGAATTAGGTAAGCATGTTGAACTGTCCATAGAAACCGTGAAAGCTTAGAACTCTTGGTCACCCTTTTGTTTACGTATCCTTTGTAACTGTAGAGGTTCAAGTGGTGTCAGCTTGAACTGTGTCTGTGTGTGCTGTCTGCTAAGGAGCAAGTAAAGGCTAATTCCACACTGAAACATAGCAAGGCAAAATCCAGCATTCTGGCTGATGAGCCTTCTTCAGGTGTGAGAAAGAGAGGAAGATAGCAGTAATACAAAGCACACAAGAACAAAGAGCATAGTAGGTGAGAATAGGTACACAGGTGAGAGGTGAGGTGTATATGAACCCCAGTGTGTAGTTGATGAGTGTCAGCCCTGCTCTGAGTGTGTGAAGTTTGTGTGAACATGAAAGTGTCAGTGATGAGTGTCAGCTTTGCTCTGACTGTCTGTACTTGTTTCCAAGTATTGTGTCACTTTGTTTCCAAGTGACATTTAGTATGGATTGACACTCTGCAATGTTGCTCACGTCATTCTGTCCAGTGTGGATGCACCTTCACTCAAAAAAATCAGATGATTTGAAAGAAAACTGTCCTGAAACAGAATAGTGGTTATTGGACTATTGCTCGACTGAGTTAATGTTGTTTTATTTCATAACAGCATCTGCACTGCCCAAATTTGAAAACATGAAAGTCTTAAATCTAGAAACCCAGGATATTCAGGATAAAGGATCTGCCCAGATATTTGGTAAGGCTCTTTTTTCTTCCATTCCTCACAATAACATATTGCTGTGCCTCACTATCAGAAGTGAATTTATTGCATATACGAACACCTTGTGAAACTGCCTTCCTCCCTGTTTCAAGCTCAGGCCCTAGAATCACTGGTGAATTTGAAAGAGCTGCATCTTCCTTTAGGCAACGGAATGAAAGCCGCCTTGCCCACTGTGCTAGAGCAGCTACAACATATCAGGCAGCTGCAAGTTCTGACCATTGGGGTCATACTGGAGGATCACAGCCTTTACCAGTTGGGTAAGTGTGCAGGGGTCGTCCCCAAGGGAGGTGGGATGGAGCAGGAGGTCACAACAGTGCCAGAGAATAACAATTGGGAATGGCTGAATTTAGAAATGCAATAAACAATATCGAGGTTACTTGAAATGCACGCAACTCTGTGAAATATGGGTCTGTTTGTGCCCTGTGATGGACTAGTGTCCTGTCCAGGGTATATTCAGGCTCACACTGGTTCCTTGCCACCGTGACCTTGTATTGGGAAAAGCTGTTTGAAAATGGATGGAAAAACATTAGAAAGTCCCAGATCATAGTGAGTCTGAATATCTATTAATATACAAATTTTACTTATTCTCCCTCTTAATACATGTACTTTTTATTTTGAGCCAAACTGTCAAAAGAGAGCTTTCTTCAGTCCGTTCAGAAACTGGACCTCGAGATCAATCATGGGGTCACCGACGCAGGCTGGAGGGATTTTTTCCAAACCCTGGACAACCTGCCCCATTTAAAAGACCTCCTTGTTTCCCGACACTACAGTAAGACCCTGAAACCCCACGCCTCCACGGTCAGGGCCTTTGTGCAGTGTGTGTCCCGGCTGCCCAGCCTGATGCTCATTGTCATGTATGGTTGGCTGCTGGACTCCGAAGACCTGAACATGTTTAACCAGATGAAAAGGCAACACCCTCAATCTCAATGTTTAAAACTCATTTGGCAGTGGGTGCTGCCCTTCTCACCGCAGATCCTGAGAGAAACATTTTAACATAGGGAGTAAAAAGTTTAGGAAAGGAGCTCCGGTATCTTAAGGGATGTTTGCTTGTGGTGCTTAGTTCTTTTAAGATGTTTAGTTTGTCTTAATAAGGTGGGTAGATTTGTTCAATCCATGACTTACCTTATCTTTTGACACAATGACGGTTTACAACTAAAGGAAGATTGTTTGGCATGAATAGATAAATAGACACATAAACAGTGTTTTATTGTTTTCAGATTCTGTTTCATAAGGTGCAATCATGCCTGCCTGGAGGCTTTTATATGGTTATTTTTTTAGTGATGACTAAATGATTAGTTTAAGAGTAACAGGTCTTGTTAAATGTGTTGTATTTTTGCCGATATTACTGCTATAAAGGCAAAATTACCAAGAAATTCTGAACTCTGTGTTCTTTGTTAAGTTTTAGGTAATAAACTCTCAGTAATGTTATGAGGTGGAACTGTCTGAACTTGATTTTTGTGGTGTTTGAGGTTGGTGATTGTGATTGGGGATAGTATAAACAAGGCACTATAATATTAAATATGCAGCGCCCTCCAGATGCTCATACCCATGATGAAATAGAAACAAAATCATCATACAGTAGCAGAATATATCCAATCCAATTATGAATTTGATAAGGTGTGTTAGTGTTCAGTTTAAAGCTAAAAATCTTATGCTGTTCAGTAGTTGTAATAGCATTTCACAAAGTCATGTCTGTCCTAAATATTTATTTGGATTCCAAAAAACATAAGGGACACATTTATTCCTTTTAATACAAATCCCAAAAATAAATCTACATTATATTTCAGGTTTTTGTAAGATGGAAACCACTGGAATTATCTAGAGCAGTGGTTCTCAAACTGTGGTACGCGTACCGGCAGTGGTACGTTGCGTGCCGCCAGGTGGTACGCCAAATGACCCTGGAACTGTGTCGTGTGCGCTGAAAAATCAGGACGGGTTTTCATATTTTGTATTTTAATACGTGTCGAATAAGCAGCCTACGTACTACGATACAGTGCG